TTTCTTTTTTTTTTCTCTCTCTCTCTCTCTTATCTTTTTTACTGCATTTTAATCTACTAAACGAAAGAAAAAAAACTGCAGATTATTAAGTGATTTGTAAGAAAAGAGAAATAAGATAAAACCTTTTTAAAAATTTAAACATAATAACAATTAATAAAAATTAGAAATCTCTTTTTTTTCTTCTCCTCCTTTTCTCCTCCCCCCTCCTTCCCATTTCTCAGTAAACATTTTACAAAACTTTGTTGTTACTTTTGTTTTGGATTTTTTTGTGTTTTATTATTAGTTTTTTTATTGCCATTGTTAACACTTTACTATTATTCTGTCTATTATTGTCATTAAAACTATTACTACTATTATTATTATTATCATTATTTTTGTTGTTACTATTATTATTACTATTACTATCACCATTACTATCACTATTATTATTATTATTATTATTGTTGCTATAGCTATTGTTATCATAATAATAATTATTATTGTTATTTTTTCTTTATTTTTTATCTGTGGATACCTACCATTAAGGTTAACGAAGTTTTATGTCAAAAAAATTCTTTTTTTTTCTTTTCAATATTTATTCGTAGACGATGAAAAATTTTTGTTACTGTCATCTGACGTCACAGAGGCATTTAATCCGTCACCATTCATGTATCGCACGTTCATATGGTTTTTTGTAAATTTCAGGTTCAGTAGATTTATCCCCAGAAAAAAAAAGAGCAAAAACTGCCACAGAATTAGCGGTAAATTTCCTTGATGAAATAATACCAACAATATTTGCGATAACTGGCGATGCTTTCGATATTGATACTATAGTTTTTTCTTTTGTCTAATACATAACGAAAGCAGCGACAACAATAGAAGCACAAGAACAGAATTTAGAAGAACGAAGCCGTTTCTATATGCAAATCTGGTTTTCCGGTTATGGTCAAATCGTTGTTTGATATTTGCTTATCGGCGGTATGCCAAAATCACTTAGATGAACAACTTGCATATCTGCCAACTGTTTGCAAGCAACGACTACTGGAATTCTTCTCTTCACATGATCAGGTGATAGTAACACAATTGACTGATGAAGATGACGATAATCATTTGATAACTAATAGTTGCAAAACCCTGTTTTTTATATACAATAGCACTTTACAATTATTTGGATCACAAAGTTAGTGATAGCATTTGGCAGTTGGCACCGAAAAAAAAATTTCGGTTGCAAACTCTGTATTTCTCCTCTCTCTCTCTCTCTCTAACTAAGCTTTCAGATACTGACAGTTAGTTTATTCGGCTAATAGGATACTAGCAAAAAATAACAAGAATAAATGTCTTTTTTTTTTTCACTGAAAAACTAAATTATAGAAGTTTTAAGTTTTCTTCCTATCTTTAACAACTGTTTACCTTCATTACGCTGTCCTTAGGAGATATTTTGGAAATAACTGACCGAAACAAGGCATATGGCAAAGCCATTTTTTGATGTCAGAGTAAATGGATTTTGATCAGTACTTGGTTGATGGCTAAGCACTCTCGGTTAAACTGTTCAAAAGATTCTAGTGATTATACATGCTGTCTAACAGATGTTTAAGCGGAATAAAAAGAAGCGCCTTCTAGATGAATTAGTAAAACGAATAAATTTACTTATCTTTATCTATTTAAATAAAATTTCTTTAATGCACTCTATATTTATGCATCTCTTCAAAATAAGCTCAATTCTATCTGCCGATTAAACAATAACAACAAATTTAAGGGTCGCGGATTCAAGGTAATACAAAAATGAAAGTAAAAGCTTTTAAAAGTCTTTTTCCATTCACTATTTCCTTTAGAAGTGTATAAAAATCCGGTTCGTTTCCACTTTTTTTTTTTCACCTTAAAAATTAAAAATTAGTTTTTACTTTTAGCTGTTCTTAGCCAATTGCATTCGATTGGTATCGTCAGGAACACTTGGGTCCAACATAACGCGCCTGAACTTCTATCTTAGCGAGCAGCTAACCGATGATATTCTGGCTGCAATTGCTGAGCACAATCACGTGTTGGAAGAAATTGCTATCATAGACTGTCAGAATGTCACCGATCGAGTATAATTTCTTAACGCTATTCTTTCAGTTTGATTTTCCACCTTCTACACTATGGTTTTCAATACAAATATAAAAGGTTAAAAACCAACATAATTCGCAGCAGTTAAGGAATTTCACAGAAACAACCTGGTAGCAGTTTAAAGTATATAAAAAATACACCATTTTTACTGCAGGGTATTATCGCTATAACCATAGGCCAAAGCTGCCTTCAGAAATTAGAACTACGTGCTTTGAAGACACTGACGTCATATGGATTAAGCAACATTTGTTCAGTTTACCTGCACACCGTCGATCTCAGTTCCTGTCCCCAGGTAGTCGTTTCTACAAATTAATTGAACTACCAATTGAACAGTACTAGTCGATCATTACCGCTGCACTAACTGCAGATTACCAGCGATGGGATATATCAATTGGTTTACCTGAATCGCAACATTAGATGCCTTTACCTGAATCACTGTGAAGGTTAGGTCGTTAAATTCTAAACTTTTGAAACTTTTGGCCTTCATTATTAATGATTTGGAAAATCAATTTGAAGAATTATAATTGCATTCTTACTATTGCCAAAAAGTGATTGTCTGCTCATCAGAAAGTTTTAGGTCTTTGTGATGAAGGCTTGTACTATATTGCACGATATTTGGGCGAAAATTTGGCTGTATTAGAGTTGGATTTCTTACCAAATCTTTCTGATCCTGGAACAACGCTCTTCAACTTAAGCCAAAATTGTCCGAATATTAAACAATTATCCTTGTGCCGATTTTTTGAGGTACCTTTCAGTGAGAAGGAAAAAGTGAAAGCTATCACAATTTCATTTACAATTATGCCATCCTAATCTGTGCATATAAATTTAGGCTGAATCAATTATTGATGAGCTTCCAGAATATAGGATTGCGGGTCTTGACTTACGTGATATTGATCTATACGGTATATAAGACACTTTACTATTTTAATGCTGTTATACGGCATTTCCATCCTTTATACAGATAAATTAACAGCTAAAAATTGAGATTTCAATTTTTAGGGAATTATTTTTTCACTTTACCAATGTTACCGCCAACAGTTAAAAGAATACGACTGTCGGTATGTGGCGATGAAAATGTGCACGATCTCATCTCAAGGCTTCGTACGCTACCACAGTTAACCAGCATTTATTTACAGTTGACATGTAAAGATCAGAGTTATGTAAGTATAGTCAATAGAATAAGAAAAAAATGCGAATACTCTGTCAACTTTAAAACCACTGTATCCGTGAGGATGCGGTCTTAGATAACGCGTAAACAAATAGCACGAATCCATCAAACAGCGTTCATGATTACTTGATAATAACATTAAAAACTGTGTCAATTATCTTGGTGACCGTCCTAACTGTCACATCTTTAGCGTGCTACAGAAAACGCCAACAGACTCCTATGCTCATTTATCCCATTCATGGGCGCAAAAGTCACCAGTCTACAAGTAAAGTTTACGACCTTCTTCTAGCAAAATAAGCCATATATTTCGAAGGAAGAACTAATAAATCGAATGATTGTAGATTTCTCTTCCTCGATTAGTCGATACAGCATTTCGCCTTATAACGCAGTGTCTCCCCAATCTTACGCAACTTGCACTCGACGTCAAAAACATTAACAACAAGCTGCTAAGGCGTTTTTTCTGTGGTCAGTTGACTCAGAGTTAATCACAGAAAAAATTAAAGGAGTTCACACATCCTCCTCCTCACTTAAATAAAAAAATGACTCTAATAATCTTCTGTTACGTAAGAGAATACTTATTCAAATTAGAGCAAAACTATATAGTCTTCATGAAACCTATTGCAGGCGGCATATGCTCCCCCGGATCTCGCTTAACAACACTGAAATTATGTAGACTCCACATCACTTATCGCGCTCTGTTTGCAATCGCCAGGGGTGCACATTCCATCTCGGTAGTTTTTCCTTCTTGCAAAAAGAACATCACTTCTTCTGACCATTTGAATCCTAAAGGGCCCTCAAATTAGGTAGAACAGCGACTACTGTTAAATGCTCCCCTAATTCAAGTAACAACTCGTGTAGTGAATAATTCTAGTTTCAAATAAGACAATGACGCTTTAGGACTTAGAAACGTCTCATATGTCCTGCGTCGACGACCGTTTTCTTGTGCTTCTGGCAGATAATTGTAAGCGGCTACGAAACGTCAATTTCAACGGCTGCAAATTCGTAAGCGACAAAGGTCTCGCAGCTCTTGCACGGTACTGCCTATACAGTTCTCCAACAATGTAAAGTCAAGTTGCCGACCTCCGTCCGTAAAAATACCAAAATTTAGATCATGCTGTTTGAAAGAAGTGCGAATACGAGCTACATCATGTACAGATAAATCCATCTACATCCTGGCTCAGTTCTGCCCCGATCTCGAATGGATATCACATGCAGACTTTAGTGGACGTCCTAAATTCAGCGACCAAGCTCTACAGTGTCTTCGGGACTCTTGTATACAAAGAGTTATTTGTTGAAATTTGTAAGGAATAGTTATTTGCAGTGATGCAAATTAATGATTATATCTTTAGAAACTCACTGTGTTACACCTCTAGGGTCATTGTTCTGCAGGTTTTCTATAAAACAATAATAACATGTAACAAAGAACCATCTACTACGTCGATATAAAAAACAAAACAATCTAACGTCCTGACTATGTCTCATCTGTAAACCGATAGTTTTGAAAAGTCTCTAGAGACTTTAATAAAATGAAATAAAGAACAACGAGTGTCATAACAATATCACATATCACAAAAAAAAAAA